GTTCTCTACTCCTCAATCTTCGACTATTAGACATTCTATTCTTAATAAGTGTTGTATATTAGTTATGTCATTTATGTATACCAGTTCTTTGACGAGGGTAGCCGGATGTACTCGTGTATGGGAAGATTGTATATCAGTAACAACTAACGAACACGGCACATCACGAGTATTTTACTTGGTAAGCTAAACATTGAAACATTAATTAAGAATATATACGATATAAAAACCACCGTATTGTAGAATGTACATCATGACGTCGTGTTCAGAATTAGATGAGAAACACTTTTATAGGTGAGAAAGGTGACAAAAACGATTCCAGATAACATAACCAGTAAATTTTTAGTAGACCACGAGTGTACTAATGTGCAAACAACCCGGTTTATTTGTTCTGTGTCGTGTATTTTTCGTTTTTCTACTAGAACTATTTAGTACCTATATGATGGAGTCGAAAACTGATAAGCATTGGACTGCTATTCTCTCCATTCTAATATCGCGTTATTGGTCAAGAGGTCCTGATTCCGACTCCCCTTGTCGTGCTTGTATTTCAGCAATGCCGGTGGACCTCATACTAGGATTTACAACTGTCTAGTGCTTCTTGATTTGCGGCAGTTGTTTAAAACCACTTCGTATTTAAATACTTCTAAGATCCTATGATTCACGAGAAGCCCTATATTCATTTGTTACTAAACAACAAATGCCTATATCGAAGTATACCAATGAATTTGAAGATCTTCCCCAAATGTAACGCATGTAACAACTACTCTGCCTGATTTCTGTGCTTTGATATATACAACTTTGTTCTGTAAATTTCAAACGATGTTAGAAGCATCATTATCACTTTTCTGCCGAAATCATCAAACTAATTATATATTGCTATGCTAGTTAGTACAGATCAAGTGTGAGTCTAGTGGCATTTCCAAGTGTAATATTTATCAAAATAGTATACTATTTTCATGCTATTTTCTATTATATCATCGAAGGAAGATCGCGTCCACTTGTTATACGATGTAAATCCTTCTATTTGATTAGATAATACTATTCACTTGATATAGTGGGTCAGTCAGATATCAATAAAGTGATAAGCACACGCAAACGGCTTTCAGTTTTAGGGAATAAACTACTTGCCATTGGTTGAATATTTGACTTTACCGTCTGAATGACAAGATAAACACATATGAATCATTGTAAACATATTCGACGTTTTGGTTGATCAATGAAACTTCTTACGACGATTATGGTTCCCTTACTATAGTACCTGGCTTGAAGACGAACCTATAGGAAGTCTGTGTTTGAGTATTGGAATCGGCGATTGATTGACACAACGCTATTTACATACGTGACTCGATGAGATATTCTAATGAATTAGAATATTATTATATTTGTTACTTTTCTTTCTAATACATAGATTGTTGTAATTTACATTCCTGACGTAAATGAAGTACGGACAATTGGACTGAGCCATGTTGGTAGGTGTAGACTACCTGGTTGGCATTAGCGAGATGATAGCAACCGATGAAATGGCTCAAAATCGTTTGCAATGGCGAAGGTCTATCCACTCTTTGTGTTCCACCAAATTCCAATCTTGTGAATCCTTCATCTCTCTATTTTTTCTATCTTTCCAAATTTACTTCACTGCATTATACAACTTGAATAACATCTTGGAATCCTAATATTTCTGATTACTGCTTATACTCTTACCACTTCTACTACTATCGGTTTGAGTCCCAAAGTGAACATCAAATCTGAGATGCAGGCACATCCATCTGACGAGTCTCAAATGGGACGAAATGCATATCCTGAATTCCACTGTTAGCCACTATCCATCCTTCCTTATGAAGCTTGTGACTTCAGGTAATATCGAGGCAGTCCACACAGGATGCATACATGCTAACAAAAGACTAATCAATTGCAGTCCAAAATAACAATGGGAAGATACAAGTAAACAACACCAAGTGAATTAAACATAAGTTATTATAATTATTGATAATTGCTAAGGGAATTCATATTATGTATCATTTCATTAAAACATATGAAGTAACAAATATTTGCATTATAATAAGAAATAAAACGTGAAGTTATTCAACGACTGTACGAATACCATCATCTAATGTATTCGTATATATTAGATACAACCAGTAGACGACGATTATCTCGTTCACTAATCACACTACCTCCTCGAGTGAAAAATTATGAAATATCTTAAACAGTTTCTTTTATGTAAACTGGATGGAATATGATTAACAGGGGAATCGAGTATATGGGGGTTCTTTCCTGACTTTTTTGAGCCTTGAAGTGAACATCATCACAGAGTTATAGATTCATTCTGCTAATGTGTTTCAAATAAAAGCTTTGATCAATTACATGAGAAAAGTGCTTCTCAGCTAGTTTCTACCACATGAATAATTCTAGATGTTTTATTCTACATCTTCAATTTGTCAATTTATGAAAGACAATCATGTAGCTCGAATACTTGAGACAAATGATGAGTATGATGGTCATTCAATAGAAATCAAAGGAGGACCATACAAATTCAAATTAACCCATATCTATGTAGTTTATAATCGGTGAGCTAATTGAGACAATGAAAAGTCAATTTAATTGTCTTATTTATCCAATAAGTAAGTGATGAATATTTAGCATTTTTTAACAAACTTTATTGGTTAACTACACTTATTAACAATCAAGTGATTCTAAGTCCAAAGTTATCTTACAATGGTTGATCAAGGAATGCCTTGTTTCGTTAGACAAATGGTCATTCATTTGAAAACATCAATACCCTTTGTATTCATTCATGTCTGAGTAATTAATATGCTAAACAAAAAAACTTATAAGTAGTATCTTTCTTCTTTGTTTTAATCATTCAAGTGTTTTTATGAAGTGAATATAAGCAACATTTTGCATCATGTACATAATAGTATACATTGTAGTTTTATTAACCACAGGTAAGTGCTTATTCAAATTATGAATCGCTCAATGTTAAACTATCATTGAAAACCTGAAAGTACTGGACAGTCGTTTTGTTTCCCTACCATGAAACTCCAACATGTCTAAATTACTGTGTACACACATATAATACAATAGTTGAATGAGCTTGTTACTTCCTATTTGATATTTGTCAGCTGAACAATCCTATATCACAGAGTTGATGTTCATTCTGGGACTCGAACCCAGTACCATTACCTTTAAACGAAAAATACACGATTCAGATAAAAATAAACCTGGTGGTTAACACATTAGTACACTCGTGTTCTACCTAATACATTACTAGTTATGTTGTCTGGAATTGTCTTTGTCACCTTTCTCAACTTTAAAAGTATTTCTCAACTATGTGTGATTGCAAAGTCACTATGTACATTCTACAATACGATGGTTTATATATCATATTTATTCTTAATATATCAACGTGTTGCTTAACAAGTAAATAACTCGTGATGTTCCGTGTTCGTTAGTTGATACTGATATACAATATTCTCAAACACGAGTATATCCGACTACCCTCGTCAAAGAACTGGTATTCAGTAAGGAAGTTTATAGACTGAACTAAATCGTAATTGTATGTGTATTCCTAATTGAAGAGAACTATGATTTGAGTGATGATTTTAATATACATTATTGTAGTGTGTACTACTCATGTCGACATGAGTGATATGCAACACTGATCAGGGACAGATTGCCTTGTCTTAGAAGATCTAGAAGATTGAGGAAAAAAGAACCGCAACCAAAAGCAGGAACAATGATGTCTGAGACAATTGATTGATATTTTGCAAATGAAGTATTTACTGTATGATTTTACTAAGACGTTCTGCAATCTCATGATCAAATACTAAAATGTGAAATTGAGAATCATACACTTTACATTGTTTTCAGGAGTATGTTTCAGACAAACTAATTTTTCAATGCTTTCAACATACGTTGTGTGAATATAAATAGGGTACAATTAATAGGGAAGTTGAATTCATCAGTTGATCCAAAATAAAACATCATTGAATACATGGAAGCCGTTCGGTAATTTCAACAATTAAAATTACCACAATCTGAAGGGGTTATGTGGAAATTTCAGTGGAGGATCGTGCATGCGCACTGCTGGGGAGTCCCATGATATGACGAATAGGCCGTCCAGTACTTCCAGGTTTTCCATGGTGGTCTAGCTTCAGTTGACTCATGATTTCAAGTATGAAAATTACCACAATCTCCACAAACCCCCTATTCTGATAATAGGAAAGTGTCAAAATTACCTGAGCTAAATAATGCATTAGTAATTTTTAAACGAAACTATAAAGCCAACGTAGAATCTGGCACATACGTCTATCAGTTCAAGTCGTAATAACTTATCAATACAGAGAGATAATACATGCAAGACAAATACCACAGTAAGAAAACGCATTAGACATAGATCATATGATTTTAGAATATGAAATACGACGTTTGTTTCAAATCATAGTTGATTCTCAATTATACTATCAACTTCATGGTATGATCTGTCCTTCTAAATAATCTATTCATTGAGGTGCGCCAACTTGTAGAACACTGAATAAATGACCAGAAATAATTATCCATAAAGCAGTACGAATAGTGAAGTGTCAATGATGACTTCTTATTTGTCTAATGAGATAGTAGCCTCTCGCCTAACTTAGATGGTTTACTCTAGAACGCCGATGTGAACCTCCACAACGCTATTCATTTACTTCAGATATACTTGATTCATACAAAAGTAGACTAGACCTCATCACAACCATAAAATACAAGATAACAATGATACAAGATCAAGCTAAAAGTGGCTGTAATTGTGTGAGACACCTGTTCCTCCAGGTATATCAATCTCAGTATAACACCCATGTTAGACCACTTCGTCGTCATGAACACCGTAATTAAACTTTGCTTATAGCAGTGATAATGACAATGATCCTTTTCATATAAAACTCATCTAAGGAGACTGATTGACTAATCGACACTGAACATGCATATCATCATTGAAATTCCAACAACAACAAAAAACATCATCGTGTACGTCAATCTGTAATCTATCAGAATAAAAAAAGCACACACAAATGCCTTCTTCATTGATTCGATATTAAATCAACAAAAGAAACATACGCATCGATTAACTATTTAGAGTTCAATTTAAACTGAATAACAGAATTTTCAGTCTCGTTGTAGACCTCCCATATACCAGTATTGACTGATAAAGATGAAGAGAATATGCTATACAATATGATAGCTGCTAGTGAATAATTTGGATATAAAATAAGATATCTTGATTTGCCAACAGTGAAATGACTTATCAATATTGTTATCTGTAAAATAAATAAAACATACATCAGTTTAGACTTTGATTATTTCAAAATTTAATAATTTTAATAATGTCCTGATACGTTCCGTTTTAGTATGGGACTATTGAAAAGTGCGCATCCACGATCCCGCACGCGGCATTTGGACCAAGGACCATCGGTCTCGCATACGAAAGCTTAACCTCTAGACCACTGAGCCGGAATCGATTGTGGTAATGTGTGTTAGTGGTTGCGCAACCATTCATCCATTGTGTGAGTTAGATACCTGTCCACTGGTCATGACTTCTCATCACAACCATAGGAAACAATATTAGAGCAATGTATAATTCATTTGAGAAAAAAACAGTCCACTTCTTCTTCACAGTGATCATTCTTTAAATGAAAATGTACATAAATGTAACTCACATTAAAGAATAGTAATTGTACGCCTATGTAAACACCGATCGCTGAATACTGAAAAGAAGAAAATGTGTTAGTGAATTTACATTGAACAATGCTCAAATATGACTATATAGAATTCAGTCAGTGTGTTCTTCTAGACGATAACAGAAATTGGACCAAGTTTCTTCAAAAGCTTATCTATTCATTTCATTATGTAAAGTGGATTATGTTTTCATGTAGGCACTTTGGCTTCAATGTTATACCAGAGTCCTTCTGCCCCACTTTGAACTCACACATAGTAGCCTCAATGGTAAGCCAGTTAGTCTATCACGTCAAGGTTCTTATATACATTAGACAAGTTATTCTCGGTGCGAAAGTGGATAGACAGATCAAGGACGTAACAGGAAACTTATTTATTCCTTTTAGCATCGAAACTACACTGTGTGTTCACGTAGGCCGTTTTGGTTCAGTGTTATACAACAGAGATGATCATAAAACGTTCTCCAGAGTGGATGTAATATCTACTTGTGCTACGTGAGTGAACATACTGAATCACTTGAAGATGACCACCTGACATGTTAGAAAGATGCATGTCTTGTAGCAGGATATGCACCTCTAACGAACTGAATGGTTGTTGGATTTGACCTTAATTCCCTTCCCAAACTTCTCTACGCTTTTATATGATATCAATGTTTGTGATTATTTTGCTTTGACGACATGAATATCTCTGCTCTTGTTAATCTGGTCGACGACCTAATATAGTTGACTTGTCTACCACTATATGATGTTCATCATACCGATCGAAAACCCACATATTTTCAGCATGCAATAGAGATTTAGAAGTTGAGCTAACATAATATTTTCGATTATTGATTGATTTTACTCCAATCTCAAATTTTTGGAAATGTTGTATTCGAACTAGATTCCTGTTAAAAGTTTACGATTTGGAACTAGATTCAATCATGATTACGTATTTTATGAATAAAATAATTTAGCCTAATACGATACCTGTCTTTTTAACACAAAGAGCACAGAACCGACTACGGCAGTTACAACAGATGTAACCGAAAGGGATATTAGAATATTCATTAAGTGATCGACCGAATATGATTTAATCGCTGCACCGATCAGTAATGCAGATGTGAACAACACCAAACTGATTACAAAGATTGCAAGTTTGAGAAGAAAACATAACTTTATATCCCAAACTGCCGTCGCTATTGCCATGAAAATAGACTGAAAAATGAGAAGGAATATTACAATTTTAACGGAATATATATTCATTCATATATGATTATATTGTATATTAATGCTGATAATGTATGAATTCTTCCGCTGAAGATGCCTATTTCAAATTTGACACAAATAGTTTACTGATCTATCGAATGTGTTCTCTTCGCGAACGTGGTGGAAATTGTGTGTATAATTTTAGAAAATGAAGTAAATAGTACCAGTTTGAACACTTTTGGTAATCTAGAATTGAGGTGATTTCCCATTTGATTGTCTTAAACAGACTAGTCACTCTCATTTACACATTGGAAACATGAAGTTCATTGAACAGATCGGGTTTTTGTTTTTTGCAATGGATTGATTATCAAGATTGAATTTATATGTGTTTGACTCTCATGCTGATTGAGTATTGTGCAAAATAGTCTCTGTAACTTACAGAAAATGTGCTATTGTGGTGTTGATTACTTTTATCTACAGAAGTAGTATATGTTGATGGTCAGACATAGAATGTATATTGGCAGAAGATCGATAAGGAAGGAATAGGAACGAAGCACAATCGGTATGAGAATGCATGAACAATGAAATCAGCGAAGATGGACTGTAATTTTAAGTTGGAATACATTCCATTTTCTCTGCCTGCGTTCTGTTCACTACACAATGACTATGAGTGAGACGTCTAAGTTATCTATCTCGACAAATAGAGGAATAAAATCAATCTGTTAACCAGTCAGGAATCCGATTTCGCAAACCTCTTCTATGACATAACAATCAGTCATTTTGCATTACCATCTACAAACAGTACGCTTTATTAAATTAGATTTTTCGAAAGAAAATAGGCAAATGTATGTGAAATGATCATTATAATTTCTTACATAAATAATTAAAAACACGACATTCAGTGGATATTTCTCACTGATCTTCTTCACGAGAAGAATCAATAGTGCTATGACCAATGCAATCAAACTACAAAATATAATAGAAATAACTGTTAAGCATAACATGTTTAACTCGGGCTGTAGCTTATCTACAGCTACTGCTGGTATCAAATCTGGTCAAATTTGGATATTCGGGAGTCGGATCGGCAAGTTCATCCCGTGTAAAACAACCGTGATAAAAAACTAACTAAAATAAACGACTTCAACAATTTAAATTCTCTTCTACGTGTTTAAGAAATAATTAATACACCTCATAATGAAATCCGAGATTCTTCGAAATTCACAAAGCTGATGTCCGTTCTTACAACTAGAGTAATAGTTTTTATAAGTACATTGAGGTTCCGGAAAATGTGGGAGACTGGGAAGGACAATCAAATAGCAACAGGAATAAGCAGATACAACATGGTGGTGGGTAGGTGAGTAATAAGTACGTAAAAACATGTTGAATAGTGGATAGATGTTGGTAATGTAATCACAACATACTGACGAAGAATAGTCTGAGGATGAGAGTTAGTTGTTTGATTCACACACACACATTGAAGCATTATGTGAAAATTAACTGCGTTTGGCAATCACAAATTTATTGTCTAACTGATTTGATTGTTGTTTATTTAAAGAGTATGTTGAATATTGAACTGCGGCACCTCAATTTATATAGTAAATGGTTTATATTGTTTACCCTGAACATACATCTTTTGTTATATCCGAATGAGTAGAAGATTGTACTTCCTATGTTTCGTGATATAGTGTAAACGACCAGTTCAGAGGTGAATTAAACATAATTCACTTTCAAACAGACGTTCTATGAACAAATGAATGGAGTAGCTATGAGATCGCCAGTATATCTTGACTATTGATACTTTATTTATGTCCCAATTTGAGTGGTGTATTCTTTCCAGTATCATGAGAAAGTGACATGTTCAGATCTAATATGTTTTGATAGTACTAAAAATATTCAGCATTGTTTCCAGTGTATTAAATAAAGTTGTGTTAGTTCAATGTTCGAGATTTTCGCATACTCTGAAGAAGTGGCTTACATCGGGTTACGAAACCTCAGAAATACAATTTTCTACTCATTGATATAATAATAATAATACAATTTTTTTACAATGCTCAATTTATTTGAAGCTATTAATTTCATCGTTAGCATTAATTCCTGCTGTTTCCTGAAGTTTAAATTCACTTGATACAGTTTACTCGAATATTCCCATTGTTGCTTACCATTGCAATTCGTCAGTATCTTGTTGGCTTATGCGCATACAGTGCATTGCTGATAATTACTGAGTAATTGTATTGCTTTGCACAAAGGAAATACGCAAATACTTTCGATACTACAAACTACATATTCATTCAATGGAAAGATTCAAGTAAACAATACCGAATGAATCCAATCGATTTTATTTTTCTGTTATCCAGCTGAATAACTGTTTGACAAACACAAATTTTCAGTATATTATAACGACCGGAGTCAGATAAAGCTGTCTACTCTCCCCCTTCCTCCATTTTACTGATGATTGACTGGATTATGAAGACTTCGACATCTGAGGGGTAGCAAGGAATACAATGGAAATATCAGAATCAGTTGGATGATTTGAACTTCGCAGATGATCTAGCCCTCCTATCTCAAACACACGAATAATTGCAGATGAAGACAGCAAATGTAGCAGCAGCCTTTGCATCAATAAGCCTCAACATAAACAAAGAAAAAAGCAGGATTCTCAAACACAACACGAAGAATAATTTGTTAATAAATGACAAAACGTACAGGAATAAACCAGCTACAATGGACTGTGTCGATTCTTTGTTTCCCTGAAAATAATAACCACTACACAAAAAAATATCATTATTCATTCAATAATTTACATTATTGATGAGAGCATTATGATGACAAATGTAATTGATATTTGTATTGTAAGAAATATAAGCACCTATAATTGTGAATGACATTCAATGATAAAGTACAATTTACTGTTTTGGTGTATGTGGATACAACACGTAGACGATCAACAGGTTTCATGACATTGACTCCTTCCCATTCAGCATTTTCAACATTAGGAACCATTACTTTTTAGGTTTGTCTACAATAAACAGTAAAGTATCATTCATTTGTTCAATTAGTCATTGATAAATATAAATGGGAAATTCCATTTCAAATATTGAATCATTAATACTCATTGACTGTATTTGATTGTCTTAATTTGAGTTTGGTGTGTGCTACTGATATCAAAAGATATAAGTTGTACGAATCACTCACTGCCTTCTCGTGGCAGGGTTGAGTGTTGTTTACGAAATTGAGAGGACGAAAAGTGAATGTCCGGCGCTCTTACCGGGTTAATGTACAAGGTAAGTTCACCTAGGGGAGTTGGAAAATCCTGATTCCCAACCAATGGTGCACATGGGCTGGCTCCAGTATCCTGAGGGATCAAATGGCTTATGAACCAATTATGTGGTCAGCGGCCACCATGGGACTGCATCTTCGCACAATGTTCCATTGCCTAGTGCACTTGACCTTCAGGTCAAAGGCTCGAGGTGTGGCCCCTTAAGAAAACTATCTGCTTCAGTTTGGGCACCTGAACAGTATCACAGCTCTCACACAAATCGAATGAGATTTTTGTGGCGCATATATATCTGGCGGTTCTTTGTACCCATATTTATGTGTTTAAATAATAAAAATAAAGTATGAATCATCAATCGGAAGTGAAATACCTGGAGGCAGAAGATTAAGCAGATCGAGTAGAAGAGAACGAGTGCAGAGAATAAACAATGATGTGTGAGATGATTGATTGACATTTTGCGAATGAAGTATTCACTGTATGGTTCTCTGATTTGGTTGTCTTCACTGGTGTTCTCGTTCACTACAATACTATCTACAGTCATTCATATTAAAGGTTGGTTTACATTCAAATACAGATGTCAAACGCTTAGTTTTGACTTGATAGTTTCAAATAAAATGAGCATTAAGTATAGAGTTAACAAGAAACATATTTTATAGTCATATCCCTCTGAGTAGAAAAATTATGCTTCTCATGTTTCGTGACCTAATGCAAGCTACTTCAACAGAGTGAATAGACCTGGTTATTGCTTTAGTGAAGAAGAACACAAATGGGGACAGTCGAGCGTATCTGAGAACCATACAACAAATACCTCATTTACAAAATGTCAATCAATTGTCTCAGACTTGACCGTTCAATCTACAAAATGTCAACCACTCGACTCAGGCTTCATTGTCCTTTCGATTCTCTGCCAATAGTTCTTTGTTCCCGTTCTTTCATTTTCTAAACCCTCTGCTGTGAGGCATTTCACTTTCGATCGATGCTACATACAACGTACCTCTGTCAACAACAGTAGCACATTGCTAACGCATTTATGATTGTCAGCACATTACTCTCGTATTTATGATTACCAATTATTTCAATAACATATTGAAAACTAAATTCACTTGATGTTGTTTACTTGTATCTTCCCATTGTTATTTAGGACTGCAATTGAACGGTCTCTTGTGACCAGGAAGTCCACAAGAAGGAAGTCCAACAAGACACTGATCAATCGCAGTCCTAAATAACAATGAGAAGATACAAATAAACATCAATAAATGAAATTAAACGTCACGCCATTGCACAAGCAGGTGGATATGAGAACTCAGTAGGTAAATGGTAAACGCGATGGAAGAAAAATTGAGAACAAGGAATATATACATCAAAGAAACGGATGACTGAGGCTTACCTGTAGTGTTGAATGAACTGATCTCAGTTCGTAGTCAGATTCAAAATATCCACACTCATCAAATAAGTTGTACTGAATACTTTGTTTATCTATATTATGCGTTAAAGTTTGACCAAATATAGATAAGTAAAAAAATTGACGTTTACATTCCTTAACATAGTTCATACTCTTATATCAGATCAAAGTTCATTTAAAGGTAACAATAAATGATAACAAACTCATGATAACAATCACGATCAAAATGTGATACAAACATAAGCTATTGATCTACTATGTATAACATCATAATCATTGTGGATTCCCCTTCTCAATCACTCTCTTGCTTGTCTCCTTTCAACAACATCAGTTTGTTTTAAATTTTATTTAAACAGTTTTGCGATTAGATACGAAGATTGTTGATTTCATTTCATTAGACACAGATGTCTGTTACTCCAATCATCTATTTAATAACTAGACCACACAAGAAAGATTTTAGTGTGCGAGAACACAAGTGGCGACAATCGACTGTATATGAACATAAGATTGCAGAACGTCTTAGCAAAATCTGAGAACCATACAGTAAATACTTCATTTGCAAAATGTCAATCAATGGTCTCAGACTTCATTGTTCTTCCTCTTGGTTCAGGTTTCTCGTGCTTTACTCCTCAATCTTCTCGATCTTCTACTACTAGACATTCTATTCCTGATCAGTATTGTATATTACTTATGTCTTTTACATTTTGCCGCTATCATGAAACTAAATATATATTGCTATGCTAGTTAGTACAGATGAAGTGTGAGTCTAGTGGCATTTCTAAGTGTAATATTTATCAAAAAAGTATACTATTTTCATGCTATTTTCTATTATATCATCCAAGAGAGATCGCGTTTACTTCTTATATGATGTAAATCCTTCTAATTGACTGGATAACAGTATACACTTGATATAGTTGGTGAGTGAAATATCAATAAAGTGATAAGCACACGCAAACGGCTTTCAGTTTTAGGGAATAAACTACTTGCCATTGGTTGAATATTTGACTTTACCGTTTGAATGACAAGATAAATACATATGAAACATTGTAAACATATTCGACGATTCGGTTGACCAATGAAACTTCTTACGACGATTATGGTTCCCTTACTATAGTATCTGGATTGAGGACAAACCTATAGGAAGTCTGTGTTTGAGTATTGGAATCGGCGATTGATTGACACAACGCTATTTACATACGTGACTCGATGAGATATTCTAATGAATTAGAATATTATTATATTTGTTACTTTTCTTTCTAATCCATAGATTGTTGTGATTTGCATTCTTGATGCAAATGAAGTACTGAAACTTCATCAGTTGAGATGACTGGGACTCGTGTTGCATATGCTCAACCACCGACTGCCCCGATGTGCAATGTTGTATGGTGTAGGAGTACGTTGGAAGAAATCTGGGGCGGCCAGACCAAAACGTGTCACAAATCCATGAAGTTACTGACAACTGGACTGAGCGATTTTGGTAGGTTTAGACTACCTGGTTGGGATTCGCGAGATGATATCAATCGTTGATATGGCTCAAGATCGTTCGCAATGGCGAAGATGCATCCACTCTTTGTGTTCTGAAAACTCCGTGTTACATTATTTTAGGAATCCTGAGTGTCGACACAGTACTTTCATAGGTAGTCGCCAAAATGTACTGCATCATTATACGGCAATTGAGAAGTGGAGTTATAGTAGTTCTGTATACAACCAAGAGGATTGAACTTCAAGAGGTTTACAGAATGTACTTTATCATGATACCTGGTTTGAATTTCCCATTCTACTGAATGGAGACGATTCAAAGAAGAATACTGAATCTCCGGAACCCGTATCTAAGAATATTGACTTTAAAGAACCTTTTCTACACTTTCTTATACAATTTGAAGTGAAGTGTTATTACAAAGACGTTAGTGGTCAATGTCGTCTTTTTGGTTTAATTGAACTCGGAAAGGAGTTACTACAAAAACCAACGATATATATGCGCATTATGGTTCGTTTTTAAAAAAATGCTAACATGATAATAAACAAGATCGTTGATTTGATATGTTATTTCTGTAAATAATGATGTATAGAATTAAAGACTCAGGACTTGGTAGCTAAGTGGATAACATGATAGCATTTGATAGGAACTGTACTGGGTTTGAGTCACAGAGTGAACATCAACTCTGAGATGTAGGCACATCCATCTGACGAGTCTCAAATGGGACGAAATGCACATCCTGTATTCCACTGTTAACCACTATCCATCCTTCCTTATGAAGCTTGAGATTTCAGGTAATATCGAGACAGTCCACACAGGATGCATACATGCTAACAAAAGACTAATCAATTGCAGTCCAAAATAACAATGGGAAGATACAAGTAAACAACACCAAGTGAATTAAACATAAGTTATTATAATTATTCATAATTGCTAAGGGAATTCATATTATGTATCATTTCATTAAAACATATGAAGTAACAAATATTTGGATTATAATAAGAAATAAAACGTGAAGTTATTCAACGACTGTACGAATACCATCATCTAATGTATTCGTATATATTAGATACAACCAGTGGACGACGATTATCTTGTACACTAATCACACTACGTCCTCGAGTGTGAACTTATGAAATATCTTAAACAGTTTCTATTATGTATGAGTTTCAAATAAGAGCTTTCATCAATTACATGAGAAAAGTGCTTCTCAGCTAGTTTCTACCACATGAATAATTCTAGATGTTTTATTCTACATCTTCAATTTGTCAATTTATGAAAGACAATCATGTAGCTCGAATACTTGAGACAAATGATAAGTAAGATGATCATTCAATAGAAATCAAAGGAGGACCATACAAATTCAAATTAACCCATATCTATGTAGTTTATAATCGGTGAGCTAATTGAGACAATGAAAAGTCAATTTAATTGTCTTATTTATCCAACAAGTAATTGATGAATATTTAGTATTTTTCAACAAACTTTATTGTATCACTACACTTATTAACAATAAAGTGATTCTAAGTCCAAAGTCATCTTACAATGGTTGATCAAGGAATGCCTTGTTTCGTTAGTCAAATGGTCATTCATTTGAAAAGATCAAATACAATACCCTTTGTACTCATTCATGCCTGAGTAATTATTATGTTAAACAAAAAATCTTATAAGTAGTATCTTTCTTCTTTGTTTTAATCATTCAAGTGTTTTTATGAAGTGAATATGAACAACATTTTGCATCATGTACATAATAGTATACATTATAATTTTATTAACCACAGCTGAGTGCTTATTCAGATCATGAATCGCTGAATGTTAAACTATCATTGAAAACCTGAAAGTACTGGACAGTCGTTTTGTTTTTCTACTATAGGACTCCAACATGTGGGTCTCGAACCCAGGTCTTTCGATCTCGAATTTATTATTTGACATTGTTTTTTTGTGGTTACAGAGTCTATACATACCACAATATGAGGGAAAGAAAGATTTACAAAATTGAGTGAATTCATTCTGCTCTAAGGCTATGATGTAGGCTTCTTATATCAACATATGTAGTATATAACAATAGTCAGAAATAGGAAGTATTTCAGTAGAAGATCGAGAAGAAAAGAACGTGTCGTGGATGCGCTCTGTTGAGGAGTCCCATAATATGAAGAAACGGCCGTCCAGTGCTTCCAGATTTTACATGGTAGTCCAGATTAATATTTGAAATAGAAATTCCCATTTATATTTGTCAATGAGTAGTTGAAAAAATGAATGATACTTTATTGTTTATTGTAGACAAACCTAAAAAGTAATGGTTATTATTATTGAAAGTGCTGAATGGGAAGGAGTCAATGTCATGAAACCTGTTGATCGTCTACGTGTTGTATCCACATAAACCAAAACAGTAAATTGTACTTTATCATTGAAAGTCATTCGCAACTAGGTGCTTATACTTGTTACAATATCAATATCAATAACATTTGTCGTTATAATGTTCTTGTGAATATCGTAAATTATTGAATGTTTAATGATATTTGATTTTATGTAGTGGGATAAGATCTGGAGAAGGTCGACAACTGATACCGTCCATTAAAGCTGTCGTATTGTGTATTTTATATCATTCATTTACAAATTATTTATTATCTTTTCAATAGTTTACTTCAATATATCATAGTGATTGAATATGTTGATTAGATAATAGCGTAGATCAGACTTATCAGTAACTGTAAAGATACTCTACATTCTTTTCAGCAACATTTGCGATGAAGAACAAGTACGAGGAGATTGGGAAGTAGTAAACCTGATCAAGATGCCAAAGAAAGGCGATCTCAGTAAGTGTGATAACTACGTAGGCATCAGGAAAGGTCTTCAACATGGTGTTGTTAAACAGAGTGAAGGACTCTGTAGACGCCCGACTTTGAGACCAACAGGCTGAATTTCGCATGGAACGATAGTGTGCTGACCAAATCGCTACTCTACGGATCATTGTGGAACAATCAATTGAATGGAATTCATCACTCTACATCAACTTCATTGACTACGAGAAAGCATTAGAGGACAACACTATGGAGGCGTCTTCGACACTGCGGCGTTCCTGAGAAGATAGTCAATATCATACGAGTTTCCTATCATAGATTAAACAGCAGCATCTTTAATAAAGGACGGCTTACTGACTCGTTCGAACTAAAGTCCTATGTCAAGCAGGATTGCTTACTCTTATTTTTTCTCTTTCTACTGGTGATAGATTGGATCATGGAGAAGTCAACAACTGGAGAGAGGCATGGGATACATTTGACAGTTAGGATGCAGCTGGACGATCTAGACTTCACAGATGATCTGGCGCTTCTATCGCAAACACAACAAGCATCAATCGGATCACACTTGACGGAGAAGCTTTGGAGGATGTAAAAACATTTACATATCTGGCACGCATCATTGATGAACACGGTGGATCTCATACAGATGTGAAGACGTGAATCCGCAAAGGAAGAGCAGTATATTCACAACTGAAGAACTCAAAACAATTTTGAACCAACACCAAAGTCATAATTTTAAATACAAATGTCAAGACAGTTCTATGGAG